TAAATGAAATAATAGAAGAATGAATAAAATATGGCATATTTATATTGATAGAAATACATTCATTATCACAACAATGTCTATAAGTATAATTAAATTAATGTTGTTAAGATTTATGTCATTGTCATCTTCATACTATTTTAAAAATGATTCAAATAGAAATAATAACATAAAATACAAAGAAGATAGAATAATAAAATAAAGAAGAAATAAAATAAAGATAAATAAAAAAATAAAATAAAATAAAAGAAGAAATATGAAATAAAAGAACAAAGAATGAATTACATGAAATAATACAAAAGAAATAATACAATAGTAATAATAAATTAACTGAAGTAATCCAAATAAACAATAAAAGAAATATAAACAATTATTAGAAATTGTTATTTATTGAATTTCAATATTCAAAATAGATTATTGTTAATTAATGAATGAAATAAAACAGATAAAAGTGATATACTGACTATGATAATAGTATTTATAACGAAGAACTGAGAGAATGGATTGAATGTGAATATGGATATTATCTTAATTCAACATGTGAATGTAAGAGAAATATGAGTGGATGTATAATTGGAAATGAAACACATTGTTATCAATGTGAAGTGTGATATGTCAATGAAAATGGAGAATGTCAAGGAATGAATAACTGTAAAAAGTCAGAAAGGAATTATTGTTTAAAATGTTCAAATGGATATAAAATAGAAAATAATACATGTGTTAAAGATGAAGAAGAATGTTATTATGAAGGAAATGAATGTGTTTCATGTTCAAATGAATATACATTAAATAATGGAATATGTGAAAGTAAAGAAAATAAAAATGGAAAGAATGAAGAAATATATTGTGAAAATGGAAAATACATCAAGGATAATAAATGTATAGAATGTACAAAATCAGCAATATGTAATTCAGATGATATTGAATTAAAATGTAAAGACAACCAACAATTAGATAATAATACATGTATAAATGAAACACGTGAAGAAGGAAAGATAAAAGATCAAAATGGAAAATGTAATTCCAATATTTCAAATTGTTCAAATGAATCATATGTTAATGGAAAATATGTTGAATGTTTAACAACATATTCACTTAATTCAAGTAGAGAATGTATTAATACAACAATAAATGGATGTGAAGAACAAAACATATATGGATGTAAACGATGTTCAGATGGATATTATTTAACAACAAATATGAAATGTTCAAAATGTGATGATAATTGTAAAATATGTTTTGGTTCAGCTATATATTGTATGAGTTGTTCTAGTGATAAATATTTAAGTAGTAATAGAACATGTCAATCAAATAATGAATTAAATAGAACATGTTTACAATTATTAGCAGATGGAAGTGGATGTGGAATATGTAATAAAGGATATCATAGAAATGGAAAAGGATGTTTAGAATGTGGAGAAAAATGTGCAACATGCAATCAAAAAGATAAATGTACAACATGTGCAGATGGATATTTCATGAATTGGATAGGAGAATGTAAATCAATAGACGAAGTTAAAGGATGTAAAGGAGAAATAGATAAAGAATATGGATGTAGAGAATGTTCAGAAGGTTATTATTTAATAAATAAAGAATGTTCAAAATGTAAAGAGAATTGTACAAGATGTTCAATAAAGAATGAATGTAATAGTTGTGAAAATGAATATGTATTAAAAAATAAAGAATGTATTTACTATTTAGATATTAATAAAGGTAAAGAAGTAAAGAATAATAAATGTTGGAAATGTTCATTTTGGTATGGAACGAATGAAGAAGGAAATGAATGTAATAAAGAAGTAGTATGGTGGATGATAATGATAATTGTCATTATTATAGTTATTATCATTATTATAACAATTGTAATGATAATAATGATGGTTAATTACATAATGAAGAGAAAAGAAAAGAAAGAACGAGAGAAAACAACAATATTCAAAATAACACAATCAAATATCAAATTCATATCACTTGGAGATGGAATATTAACAAATAAGAAAGAAATTGAACTTCAAGAAGGAGAAGAAATTAAAGTGAATGAAGAAATAAGAGAATTAATTTGTATTGGAAATTCAAAGAAAGAGAAGATGAAGATACAAATAAGTAGTAAAGAAGAAAATGAGAAATATTCAATTAGAACAAACCCAAATGTCATTACAATTGAAGGAGGATATGCATGTGAATTTGAATTATTCATTATAATCAAATGTACAACTAAAATCAACGATAAAATAATAGTCATTGGAGAAGAAATTACAGAAGAACGAATGTATTCAAATAGAGTTGATAGAAGAAAAGAAAGAGCAACAGGTGTGAAAAGAGAATAACAATGAGAAAGAAAAAAATAGAAAAAAAGAATTAAGAAATGAGCCAAGAAATAAACCAAAACTATAAAAAATAAAGAACATTAACAAGTCAAGAAGAAAATATTCAATAAATGAAAATTAGATAATTTAGTGTTAATAGAATTGTCATTTATTTATTGATTAATGGATATTGATCAAATCATACATCATTTAAAAGAGTAATTAATTTATTTTCTTTGTTGTTTAGTTTTTCTTATTGTTGTGTGAATAAATCATTCTTCTTTTGTTTTACTTCTTTATATTATTAGCTTTTCATTCTTCTTCTTTATCTTCTTCTTTGATGTTTATTTTACTTTTAATGAACTTTCTTCCTTCTTTATTTATTATTTATGAATGAATATATCATTCTTATTATATTATTATTTCTAATTTCATTTATTATTAACTTCATCTTTTATATCATTTTCTTTTGTTATTATCCTTTACAATACCTTACTTCACTCTTTGAATTATTAACTAATATATTTCTTATTAAAATACATCATCATAATCAGATAAAATAATTGATAATTCAATGTTTAATTTTGTATTAGTGTTTATGTTATGTTTCAGACATCCAACCTTCGAACTATATAAATAATATTATAAAATAAAAAGAGACAAATCAAACCATAATTAAACAAAATTAAATGAACGAATATTTTCTTATTATCAACAATAAAAATAATCTACAAAATGGCTATTTTTTGTTATTGACAAACAACTCAGAAATACTTTGTATTTAGAAAAAATTCACTAAAAAAAAGAAAAAACAGGCTGAAAGTTACTAATTAATGGTTTTAAAATACTTTTGATAAAAAATTTTTAAATCAAAAATAAACATCATTTCTTTCATTTTAACTAATCAATTAATTAAAAATTGTTCTTATTTGAAGTTTTCAGAGAAAGGAATTACGTCTGACCACGTTCGATAAACTAAAAAAGGAAGAAAAAGAACTTAAAAAAAACAAAATGACCAAAAGAATTACTGGAGAATTTGCCAAACTTCAAAAGAATAAAGAAGGTTGGTTTACTGTTGGAACATATTCAGATGATATTTATCAATGGAAAGTAATAATTAATGGACCAGAAAATAGTCCATATGAAGGTGGAAAGTTTGAAGTTAAAATCACCCTTCCTAAAGAATATCCACATAAACCACCAATGTTAGTTGTAATGACTAAAGTTTATTCACCAATTGTTAATCCTGAAGATCATACTATTTGCCATCCAATTCTCCAAACTGATAATAAACCAGGAAATTGGGCACCTACATCATCAGTTTATGAAGTTCTTGTTGCATTTAGAAGTATGCTTGGATCACTTTCTACTGATCATGTCTCAGATACTGAAGTTGCTCAAGTTCTTGCAGAAAGACCTGAGGAATTTAAAAAGACAGCCAGAGAATGGACAAAGTTATATGCTAAATGAAATAAACATATTTAATTTACAAGCATATTATTATTTGTATTTATTATTCTTTTTTTTATCAATCAGATTTAAATAATTATTTATAATAACACTACAATTATTTGTATTATCATAATTTCTCTTCTTACAACTCCATATTTTTAGCTTGATACATCTCTTTGGTATTTTGAATACATTTCCCTTGTTCATTACAACTAAACCCTGACCGACAATAACCACAAAGATGGGTACAGTTAACATGACCAGAATTAAGCAACTGATAAGGAGGAGTACATTCCTTTCCATTACAAAAGTAATTTTTAGTGTCACAAAAAGACTCTGAATTTGTTTTATTTTGAACATCTAAAATAACTTGAAGAATATCCACTATAATAGAACCTGATTCAAATTTATAATAAATTGCATTGTTTGTCTTTGAACATCTAGTGTTTCCAATAAATACAACAAGCCGAATAAAAACACAGTCAATTGAACCCCCACATTTATTACAGTCTTTAGTCTTTGAAGTACAATCAGAAGTAGTAAAAGGAAGTTCTGTTATATTGAATGAATGAAGCTGACAAGCAAAATTTAAAGAATAACTAGGTGAAATAATTACAAGTCCTCCACGAAGAAATTTATAACCACTATTAACAACTAATAAAGACGTGTAAGATTTGAACACTTTATGAAAATTAAATGGAGAAGCCATTTTATAGCCAATAAAAGTTGTTGGAGAAAAGTATAAAGGTAAATTATTTAGTACCTCCATTCTATCTTCTAAGAAGAATCTTTTCCATTGATATTTTTGGTCATAAGAATTTGAACTATCTTCTGGAAAAACTTTTTCTGTTGGGAACCATTGAAAATCTACACTAAATGATGGACTTACAAAAGCGTTTGGAACAGAGCTTTGAAGTTTACCGATTTGAGTTAAATTAGGTTGATAAAAAGTAAATTTTGTGTCGCTTAGGGTAACTAAGTTTAATCTATTTACTGAATCCAAACAAACAGTAAAGGTTCCATTAATATTTATATTTATTGTTGTAGTGTTCCATGTCATATAAATCAGAACTTCTGTATTATATACGGGTATAATATTAGAACATCCATTTTCTCTTTGAAGTACCACTAATTGAACTGGAAGAGTCTTAACAGGATAAGGACTCATAATAACTGGAATAAAAGTACTTTCAAAAATATTCCATGAAAGTAATTCATAAAGACTACGTGAAGTAAGTATTGTTCTATTTGCATCATCTTCTGTAATCCCATTAGTATATTTTGTTTCGTAACAACCCGAAAGAAAACAAATTGCTTTTTGTCCATTTGCACCAGTAAGTTCTAACTGAACCCCACAATAAGGAAATTGTATTTCTCCAACTCTATCATAAAAAAGGTTTTTATGAACAAAACAAATTTGTGGATAATAATTATTTTCAACATTTAATTGTCCATGACCTAAATAACAATCAAATGAAATATAAGACAATCCTGAAACGCTATTTAAATTTGTACCAATATCTTGATATTTTTCAATTCTCATCATAGACTATATGTGATATATTAATATATTAATTATTTATTTTATCTTAAGAAATATTATGTTTGAGATAAAACAAACTGCTTTTCTAACAACACCTAAAACATTAATTATAAATGTAATGAAGATAAACATTCAAGAATTTTTAATTTTATAGATTTTCTCTTTATAAAATATTTAAAATTCTTTTGATTATCAAAAATTGAAATGTGTAATTTATTCTATAGCTTTTTTGGACAATTTTTATTTAACAAAAAAAAATAATTCAAAAAAGCAGTCAAAATTAAATTATTCCAAATGAGGTTGTGTCAATTTTAAAACTGGTTTCAATTGGAATTCATTACTCTTGTCAATACTTAATATTCCTTTTACTTTATCAAATATTCCAAATTTAATATTCATGTTACCAAGTGTATTTTCATTTTCGTCAAATACCATTCCATATTTTTGATCAATTAATACAATTACTTCTAATCCATATTGTGGAATATTAATTATAATACCATTCTTCATAACTTTAATTACATAACCATCAACAGCAACTTCTTTATCTTTGAGGAATATTAATGTATACATTTGAGTTGATGCTCTTCCAGCATGTTGTGCCATTGTATGTCTATGATTAATATTATCAGCTATTTCTTTCATTTTTTCTTTTGACATAGTTAAATCTATTTGGTCAAATCCAATTGCTTGTGCAAGTAATCGATGTACCATTACATCTGCATATCTTCTAATTGGTGAAGTAAAATGAGTATAAATTTCAGCTGCAAGACCATAATGTCTAAATTCATTATAAGAAAAATATCCACTAGAGAAGTATTTTGCTTGTTGCATACAACGTGTTACTAATATTCTCATAATCTTTCCAATAATAGGGTCTTCATTAGTTCCACATTTATCCAATGATTCTGAAAGTGCTTTAGAACTAGAAAAATCTAATGACTTTCCTTTATGTTTTAATACATTTGCTAACCATTCAAAAGTATGTTCATCTGGTGGTGGATGTCTTCTTAACATAGCACAATGAGGAAATGCGTCATAGATTTTTTTAGCTACCCATACATTAGCAAGAAGCATATATTCTTCAACCATTGAATTGGTTTCATATGTTTGATATTCTTTAACTCCAATTGGATTAAATTGTTCATCTTTTTCAATTTTAATTTCACTTGAAGCCAACATTAATGCTCCTGCATCAATTCTTTTTTGTTTTAATTTTTTAGATAACATTAACATTGCACGTAATTGTTGAGCATATTCACTTTGATTACTCTTATCATCAATTACTGACTGTGCTTGTCCATATGCATATGCTCTATATGAATGAACAATTCCTTTATGATATGTACAATTAATAACATTAGCATCTTTATCTAATTCCCAAACAACAGAGAATGTTAGTGTATCAGTATTTTGTGTAATTGAACAAATAACTTCGGTTAATGGTTTTGGTAACATATCAATTCTTCTATCAGCTAAATAAACGGTTGTTCCTCGTTTAGCAGCTTCTTCATCTAATGCTGTATGGGGTTTAACAAAACATGATACATCAGCAATATGAACTCCAATTTCATAATTGCCATTAGGAAGAATTTTACAATGTAAGGCATCATCAATATCAGTACATCCTGGTGGATCAATTGAACAAACATTTTCTTTTCTAAAATCACGTCTCCCTTTAAGGTAATCTTCAGTAATTTCAAATGGTAATACTGGAAGACATTTAAGTACAATTTCAGGAAATTCATAATGGGGAATTTCATGAAGTTCTAAAATAGCTTCTGTTTCACTTGCTTTATCTCCTACATTACCTAATGTTGCAACATAATGACCTGTTGGATATTTTGATGTTGTATCCCATGCATCAATTAAAACAAGAATTCGTTGAGAAGCTAATTTAGCAGGGTCTCTAGCTTTAATTCTAATTGGTGGGAACCTTTTATCTGTTGGAAGGAATAATAAATTAGTAGAATAACTACCACTACTTTCTTGTTTAATATAACCAGGTAAAGGTTTCCAATTTCTTTTAATAATACCAACTATTTTTCCAGTAGGTTTTCCTTCTACTTCCATTGCATTATCCATGTGAACAGTGTTGTTTATTTCTTTTTCATTCTTTTCATAATCATTATTAATAGTATGTGACTCTTTTTTCCATTGGTCTTTAGGAAGTAGTTGTAATGCAACAATATCTCCTTCGACAGCTCGATTAATATCTTCCAATCCACTAACTAGAATTTCTTCCTTTTCTGTGGTATAAACAGTTGCTTCTTTGAAGTTGAATCTATTCATTCTAACACTTCCTTGGACTAATTTTTTCTCAGAAATTAAACGAGTTATTTCTTCTTTTGTTAGATGATTAGGATAAAATACTGTTGTTCCTTGTGATGTAATAGTATCAGTAATTCTATCACGTAATGTAGTATCGTTTGGGTAATATTGTTCAACAAAATCAATGAATGTCATTGCATGTATTCCTGCATTAATATAATCTTCTTTTAATTCTTTGGAATTAGTAACAAATAATACAGATGAACCATTTAATGAATAATGTTTATTTAACCAATTTACAGATGTAACATAAGCTCTAAAATCTCTATGAATATTTGATTCTTCATTTTGTGCAATGATATAAGTCTCTCTAAAAAATTCATTTAAAAATAAAAATACAGCACGGTCTTCATTTGCAATAATATTTCTCACCTTTTTATAAATGGACTTTGAATTGTTTGCAACATAATTTAATGCAGTTTGAGGAATAATAAAATCTGTTAAACTTTCTGTTTGTAGTGCATCAATTTGATTAAGTAATACTGTATGATCAAACATAGCGTATTGTGTTTTTCCAATTAATGGTAAATTTGTTTGGTTGCAAGTAGCACATTTTCTTAAACCACAAGCAATGTCATCTCTTAAGTAGTGTTGCCTTACAATCTTTTCACATCGTGATTTTCCTTTCACAACATATTTTACTTCATTTACACATTCCATCTTACTTTTTGTTTTTTTGCAGTTTATCTCTTTTTTTTAATTTTTAATTTTTTATTTTTTATTAATAACAATTATTAAACCCTCAATTTCTCTTTAAAATTGTTGAAGGATAAATGAAAGAATATCTAAAATAAATTTAGTGAATGTTAAGTGGAATAATTGTTATTAAAAAAAAAGAGAAAATAAAAAAAAAAACTAAAAACTAAAAAAAAACAAAGCTTGACATAGGAATTAAAAAGAATTTTAACTCAACCGATAGAATTGTATTTTAAAGCTTTGAGAAATGGTCAATTACAAGTCAATAAATTTTTAATAGTTAATAGTTAATATAATTATAGTTTCATAGAACTATGAATACGTGCCAGAACTGAAATGATTCATGATGTTCTATTTGATTGTTTTAGCCACATTAGCATTAGCCAAATGTTCACACAAGAATTTTGGGTTATGTTCTAATCATAACACTGAAGTTTCATATGATTATATTCTTCATGTCCAAACATGGGCTGGACAATTCTGTAAAACACAATGTTGTGATTTACCAGAAACTACAAGAGCATTCCATGAAGGTTTTACTATGCATGGATGGTGGCCAAATTTTGTAAGTGGATATCCATCATGTTGTAAATCACCATATACTGATGCTCAAGTTTCTAAGTTAATTACAGGAAACTTTAAAGAACAATTATCATACAATTGGCCATCATTAACAAAATGTAAATTCTTCAATTATGAATATGATAAACATGGAACTTGCTTAAGTGATGTTTATAACGGATCTACAGGACCAAAAGATTATGCTACTGCTGCAATGAATATTCTTATTAAACATGATATGTGGAAATTATTTAAGGCTAATGGTGTTAAAGCTGATGGAGCAACTAGTTATAAAAAGTCATGGTTAAAAGGATTAGTTGCTAAAGAAATAGGTGTTAATGATGCTGTTTATTTCACTTGTAATAATAAAAATTTAGCTGAATTAAGACTTTGTACTATGGTCACTACTTCAACTAAATCTAATCCACAATTTATTACTTGCCCATCTGCTGCTTTTAAACAAGAAACCTGCGGTGATAATATTGTTTTCCAACCACTTCCTTCCTTATCAAGTACAGGATGTGATTACTAATTTCACTTTGATGATTTTGATTAAGTTTTTTTTTATATTTTAACTAAAATTCATTTAAAAGATAAAATGGTAGGGTATTATAACATTCATAATTCTTAATTATTTTCTTTCTGGTTTTCAAAACATTCATTAAAAATTTTGTATTTGTTCAAAATGAAATATAAATTATTTTAGCAGTTTAACTAAATCAATGAAAAATAATTAATTATCCATAAAAATGAATATAACAAACTAATTATTTTCAAAATAATTTTATACTATTATCATGAAATTATATATTTTTGTTGTTATAAATAAATGATATTAAACATTCTTTTGAATTAATAAATCTCATAAAAGAAGTATATTTTAAATGTTTTTTGTTTATTCGATAACAAACACAAGTAAAAATTTTTGTTATCTTTATTTTTGTTCATTTTTTAGATAAAAAAATGAAGTATTTATTAAATGATTCTTAATTTATTCTTTCAGAAATTTTAAATGTAATTTATTGAGAAAATTATTTAATAAATAAAAGTAGTTCATACATTATTCTTTCTTTAAAAAGAATAAAGAAGAACATCCCCAATTAAATCAGTCAATTTATATATATTTTATTTTTTAAGAAAATAATAAACAATTTAATTTGTTTACTATTTTATAATTAGTACAGATTTTATAGTATAATAACATTCTTTCAGAATATCTGTAATCATTCATTTCAACATAACTTCCTTCAATACAGCTAGGATTTAATGAATATAATTCATTAAATCCACCTTCAAGTAAATATACTTCTTTGAAACAACTTTGTTTATTTCTTACTAAGTCAAAACGTCTTAGCTGACGAGCAAGACTAGGAGCACGAGTCTTAGAAAATTCACAATAAAAAATGATAATACTTTGCATTCTTAATATTTGTTCTAAGTTATTTTTAAGATATTCAAATAATAATCCTGGATTCCATAAATTTAAAGCACCTATAACATGTCCACCTTCATATTCGTAAGGATAACGACAGTCAACAACAATATTATTTTTAGTTAGATATTTAAGAAAATTTTCAACTGAAATAGTTGAAATTTCTTGGCTGCAGTAAAAAGGTTGATGTTGTGCATTGATAAAAGGATTTATTAAATAAACCTCTTCTTTCTCTTCTATGAAAAGTTTAGGTGCAGATTTACTTCTCTCAATTTTTTGAGAAGTATAAAATTGAACTTTCTCAGAAGAAGGCTGTATTGACTCATAAAAACTTGATGAAAAAGTTAGAGCTGATATAAGTCTTTGACTTTTGATGGTTTTTTCTGTATTATTCATGCATCTCCTTGGTTTAACTTGTTTCATGAGGAGATTCCTTGAATGAACCATTAGGGTTTTATTTCCTTTAATTTTGTACAATTCAAGATCTTATTTGTTTTTTTGATTTTATAGATTATCTTTGACGTTTCTTTTTTTTAATAAAAACAAAATCATAAATAATGTTTTTAACACCATAATGTTTTTTAAAAGAAATTTAATAATTCCTTGAAAATAAAACAATTAAATAGTATCAATTACAAGAATCAAATAGAATGTGACTGACAGTTCAATTGTTAAAAACATTCAATTATTATTCATTATAGTTCTAATGCAACTCTTGATTTTGGCTCATTAAAAAATACTTCAAAACCCTTTTCGCAAATGAAAAATCTATTCATTTTAATTTAAGAAAAACCTTAAATGAATATATCCCAACATCATACTGAAGAAATTCTCCCTACCACTTTTACTTCCTATGAAAAGTATTGTGATGAGCTTAATAATTTTCTTAGTCAATATGAATATTTGTTTGTAGGGAATACTTATGATGAAAGTCATGAATTATTGTCTGTCACTAAAAGCGTTCATTGGATGATAACTGATCATTATCGTAATCTTCCAACTGAATGGATAAAAGAATATTATGAACCATTAGAACATTATCTTAAAACACATCCTGAACATTCAAAAGAGGTTTATTGTTATATGATGAATATAACAACTGATATTATGCCATCTGTTGTTCTTCCACCAAAAGTTGATAAAGACATAGTAAATTATTTAGCCTCTAATTATCCTTTACCTGTTTCTCTTCAACAATTTATTGATACTTGTAGAAAATTAACACCAACATTTAAAATTGCTGAAATGGATCGAATTCAAAACCCAACTACAAATAGTTGGTTTGTCGTTAACATTAAAGGAAATTCTCAACCAATTGATTTATGTTTAATGAAACAAAAGAAAAAATATGAAATTAAATTACTTGGAAATGAAATTATTGAAACAGCAAAAAAACAAGGAATTTCTACAGTGGTTGATGTTGGTTGTGGTAAAGGGTATTTAACTGAATATGTAGTTTTAAATTCAAATCTTCGTGTTGTTGGAATTGAAGGTAATGCTGAATTTACTTCAAAAATGGAAGTTAGAGTTAATATCATTGAACAAAAGAAGGCAAAAGGAAAAGAATTAAGTCGTGCAGAAGGTTATACTGCATTTTTAACTGCTCAAACTACTCCAGAAGAGTTTAAGTCAATAGCTAAATTAAAAGATGAAAAAGTGATGTTAACTGGACTTCATCCATGTGGAGATTTAACTCCAACACTTATGAGATTTTTTAAAGCAATTCCACAAATTAAAACAGTTTGTATGGTTGGATGTTGTTATCATAAATTAACAGAAAATCCAAAATCATTATCAAGATGTTTTGACCAGAACCAAGATGAAATTGTCAAAGAAGCAGATAAATATGGATTTCCAATGAGTCAATATTTACTTCAAGGTGAACATAAAATTAAATTTCATTTATCACAATCTTATGTTAGCTCAAATTGTCATCCAGAGTCTAAAACAAGAAATGAGTGGTTCTATGAAATGAAGATGCAATCTTATCGTGCTGCATTAGAACTTTTTATTCATATCCATTTACCATCATTTAATGAAATTCATTATACAGGTGCAATCCGTGAAAAACATTGTTCATCTTTTGGTTCTTATCTTGTAAAAGGATTACAAAACATTAGACGACATGCATATACTTGTACTTTTAAAAACCCAAGTTATAAAGAAGTATTAATTCAATGGATTGATGAATTTCTTAAAACACCTAACGCTATTCAACAATGCAATGAATGGTATAAATCTATAGGAGCATGTGATGAAGTTCTTTTCCAATGTATCCCATTCATTTTATTACAAGCACGACTTTCTCAAGTTCTTGAAGGGTTTGTATGGGTTGACAGAGTCTTATTTTTGAAAGAATTTTGTTCTTCTGTAAGTTGTAGAAGATTATTTCATCCATTTATTTCACCACGGGGTATTTGTATAGTGGCACATAAATAATCATTTAATTGATTATTATTTTTATATTTACAAAAAAAATTAAGGGGGTTTGAAATTGTTAAACAAATAAAACAAAAAAATAAATAAATTTAAACAAATTAATTATGTAATGAACAAGTGATGTTGAAAAGGGGGTGTAAAGATAATAACGTTGTATTATTTTGGTCTATATAAATACTCCTTTCTTCATTAAATGAATTAGCAAAAAAGGACATAGCATTTTTACCAAGAATAACCATTTCTTCAAAGTTGAGAATTGGCTTTTGTTCGAAGAATATTGTTTCTATTCTTTCAAATCTAAAAGTTTTCATTGTTTTTCTTGAGAGTTTAGAATTGAAAAAGTATGACTTTTCTAAGAGAATATCAAACAAGAAGTTATGGATAAAGGTTCTTCTATTCTTTTCATATCTTCTAATAGCACTATCTCGTTTCATCCCTTTCTTTAAATTCAATTCGAAGGCTGGACGACATACATTCTCTGCTAATTCTCCTAAATTGATTGTTTCATTTGGAAAAACAAGTGATTGAACTAATGGTAAAGTTGCAGTGACAGTTGTTTGTTTTCTTGGATATTCAAGAACAAATCCACAATATGGGGATAATAATGTTAGAAGAGCAGTAACTTGGAAAGTTTCAATATCTTTCATTTGTCTTTTATTTTGCATATATTTAAGTTGAGCCTCTCTCGGAATAGGTATTTGAATTCGTTTTCTTTGTTGCATTTAATAGTAATTTGATGAATAATAAAATCAAGATGAATTGTTTAAATAATTAAATGAACGTTCAATAAAAAAAATCTTAAATTAGAATATCGTTAATTCTTTAAAGAAATTTAACTGTATAGATTCTGAAATTCATATCCGTCTTTATAAATCTCGTCAGTTTTTCAATACATTTGAAACTATATTTAGTACTTATTTTTCGATGATAATCGTATTAATGTCTTTTGCCGTATTTCTTGGTGCATTAATAGATTTTTTGTATTTGAATAGTTCTTTTCATTTTTTTTCTTTTGTGCAGAAATTCTACTGGAATTTTTTTAATACAACCCCAAGTTTCTTTTTACCTTTTTTAGTCTTTTTTTGAAACGAGGCAAGTTACTATTTTGGGCTTAATCTTACTTGATTTGCTGGCAAGTTGGAGTTAATTTAGTAATCTGTATTAATCTTGAATATCCATTTTAAGAGCCTTTTATCTTCAATAACCACTATTATTAGTCAAAAAAGATAAATGAATCTTCTTGGCAACCAAATTGTTTTACAAAACCTCTTAAAATTTTTTTGCGGTTGATGGAATTGTCGTGAAATTATTCCATTTTTGTGTAACACACAAAATAACAGAACTAAAATACCCTTTTATTATTTTCTCTTAATATGTTATTTATAACGAAAAATTACTAATGAAAAAATTACCAACTAAAATTTACGACGTTCAACAAAAATTAAACTGATTTTAGGTTATCCTCAAATAAACCAAAAGAAATGAAAATATTTACAAATTTAAAAAAATATGCATGAGATAATAATTAAAATTTACGAAAATTATTAGTTTTTACGACGAATTTTTTGTTTTATTTTCATTTTAAATTTCGACATTTTATTTAGAATAACATGTTCAATACCCTTCTCTGTATTAAGAAAACAATCTTATTTGCACTTTCAAATGAAACAAAAATGAGAAAAAAAAAGAAGACAAGAAAATAAAAATAAAAAGAATAAAGCAAAGTTAGTAAATATCATTTAAGATAGTAAGACAAGCTTTAGAGTCAATGTCTTTATAGACACCACAAGGTCTTGAATCAAACTTTTGAGCAATTTGATCAAAGAACTCTTTTCCTTTTTCCCATTGAGAAAGTCTAACCTTAGCACCAATAGATAAAAAGAAATTTTCAGTAGCAGTAATGGCATCTTCTGGTTTAGGATTAGGAATACCAAAGACTTGTTGTGCCATTTGAATTAATTTCTTTGCGTTCTTTTCTTTGTGGAACCTCATAACACCAGGCATAGTCATTGCTAATGTTTCACCATGAGCAAGACCATAATAGGCAGTAATTTCATGACCAATCATATGAGCACCCCAACATTGTTCAACTCCACATGCAAGAGAATAATTTAAAGCAACTGTAGCAGCATAACAAAAAGTAGCACGTGCTTGATAATCATAATGGTCTTTAAGAGTAATTGGTGCAACTTTCATAAGAGTACGCATAACTGCTTCTGCTTCACCATCAGTAACAGGATTTTCTTGATAATGTCCAATATATTGTTCATAAACATGAACAAATGAATCAATAATTCCATTTCTAACTTGATTGTCTGGAAGAGACATAGAATGACATGGATCAACAATAGACCATTTAGGAAAAACACTCACATCTTGTCCTGCCATTTTCATATTATCACTTTTTCTTGAAATCACAAATCCAC